ATTGGCCAAAGCTGGTCGCTTCTGCACGGTGGCTTGCTTCATAAGGTTCAGTTGTTGATAGTACATGTCGGAATTAAGAGTTTGGCTGTAAGAGCGCTGCTCATAGTAGATGATTCCCTGCGAATCCCATTAAATACAAAGAAAAAATCTTCCTGATTGTCAATCCTGGCTTGGCCACCGGTTTGACTGCGTCCGTGTTCGCTTGACGTTGTCATAAGTGAACGCTTGACGCTGATTGGTATTTGGGATCCAATCCATTTTCTATGTAGTGGTAGTAGGCGATATCTCATATTTTCTAGAATTGTTTGTTAAGTTCAAGCTTTATCGAATCATAAAAACGTTCGGAATGCGGTTATTCGGTCATACTTAGACCCGTAGCCATACTTCAGATCCGTGTACCACCTCGAGTTATGGTAGAGAGTCAAGTCAGTTATAGAAACTTCGTGTGGATATTATTTTGTAGGCACATAATGAACTGTTATTCTCTAAACGTCTAATACCCTCGAATAGATTCTATTAACAATTTCTACCAACTTTGGTATGACCTAAGCTTGTCTAAACCTCGATAGGCTAAGATTTTGGCACTGAAGTCAACTCTAAAGCAAAATTATATAATATTATATTGTTTATAATTGATAAATTTAGTAAGGAACTTCCTTAACGTCCAAGAGGTCCTGTAGGCACCATCCAAAGTTATAGATCTAATTCTCTATTTAGCTAAGGTGAGCTTTAAAACAAATTTATTTAACGTTTCAGTATGTGTTTTGAACCCCTTATAAGGATGATTTTACCATATAATGGGGATACTTTCGAGCTGAAAAAGCCCTAGTTTAGCCTCAGTTTAAAAATATTGGCCTTAAAAATAACTTACACTATATTTTTCACAAATAAAAGTGGAACTCAGCAGCTGGGAACTCTGTAACGGCGTTCCTCGTTTGTAGACGATCGCTTCTTTTTTGTCAAAGCAACGCTTTCGGCTTGTAAGTCCGTTCAGACTTCCGTTATTTATGTCTGCTCATTTGTTGGGAGTTACTAATCGTGATTTACAACTTTTAACGGTTAAGTTTATGCCATCAATCAATGAATATTGATCAAGAAACAACGATAATCCTGTTTGTAAAACAAATCCTTAGAAAAAAAAGCAGAAAAGCATAAATTTATTTTTTTTAAAGACCAAATATACATAAATAAATTCACAAACAGATTTCGTTAATAAATTTTCGGAAAAAAACACTAAACTTTATTTTTGTGCAAAAACATAAAAAATTTAATGACTGCAGAACTGCAATAAAAAATAATCACAAACAAAAAACGAAAAATAAATAATGAAAAATGTCATAAAAGCTAAAAGGAAAATGTGAGTAAACCCCGTTGAAGATTTCGACCGAAAATCGGGGTCGCATTTAAATACACCATTTAACACGGCGAGGACAAAAGTTAAACAATAGCAATCAAGTGGCCTTACAAAAGCGTAAATGCAATTAAAGGTGGCGAAAATGCATAGAAAAAATGGGAGGAGACCCAAAAAACTGCGCCGCATTTCTTTTTTTTTTACTATATCGGATAAAATACAGCACTGCAGCCACCCCAGCGATGCAATCAAAACGCTAGGCTGAGCCGTAACCCAACCGTAGGCGATTAGCGAACGCACGATCAATACGGTAAACAGCACACGTGATCGCATAAAAGCCGAACACCACGCAAAGGACATGCCACATAATTTGCGCTATGAGACACACCCTCGGCCGAGCCCTAAGTACTTACACACATACAAACAGACTTCTTTGCTTTTTTATTAGTTTTTTTTACCTTTTTTACTTTATTTATATATTTCTTTTGAGTAAATTTTACGTACTTTTAGGCACACACTTTGCTGCTGTTGTTGTTGCTTCTTTTATTTATTGGCACAGTCATTGTCAACGCAGTGTTGTTGTTGCTGTTTTGCCACTGCATTCGCCACATATCCTGGTTAGCTTATCCTGTGTGACATACGTAGACAAAGCAACGCTGACGTGTACCGCTTGAGTGGTAACAAAAAGTATGCAAGTAAACATGCGTGATCCTTTTACTTAATAAAGAAAACACTTTTTTTATGTAATTTAATTTGTTTTCTGTTTTTTTTTTTCAAACAAAATGTATCGTTTTTTTTGCGCTGCGAAGGGGTTGAGACACTTGAGGGTTTCTTTTTGTTTGCTGCACACCAACAAAAAAAATGAGAAAACGGAAAAAATCATGAGCAGCGGATGCGACTTCAAGTGTCTCGAAGTGTTTCCTCTCTTCTTTCTGATATTTTGTAGCGCTTTTTTTTTTTGCACAACGCTGAAGTGTCAGCATAATTAGGAAGCGCTCTTATGCAGCAAGCCCTCGAAGGGGTTTCCCTGTCATTTTTATTTTTTTTTTACCCTTTTTATACTTTTTTCTTTATTTATGCCTTGAGATTAATGATTTTTGTTTGTTTGTTCAAATCGTTGCACAAATATTTGGTAAAATTGCATTTAATTAGCAAAAATATGAGAGAGAAATGAAAAAAGATATGGAGTAGGGTTTCAGTTCGTTTTAAAGAGGTTTCATTACCAATTTAGACATGCGATTTTAGGGATTAGAGCTGTCTAGCTGCGCTTAACTAGCTATATTGCAGATTATCGCTTTTGATTAGGTGCGAAATTGCAGTCTGCAACAATGGAGAACTTAATTTTTTGGCAATCAACGGTAAATAATATTTTAGTCGCGTTTAATTGTGGTAGAATTAGAGTGTTGACTGAAATTTTTTTTTTCTGACTATTTTATCCACCTATTCCACGGCAATGAACAGTGCAAATGAGTCTTCAATAAAGCTTGCTGACGTTTTTATTAATATTTCTTTTAGATACCTTATTATATCCGTCTAGAACCGTCAAAAAAAAGGCTCAAGTTTGACGATTTATTTCTGGAATAAGGAAAAGGAGTAGGAAGGAAGAGTCTATAAAAAAATATAATGAAAGTTTGATACAGACTCTCAGCTATTGAGTCACTATTCGGATCTACACTTTTCAAGTGCGACTATGATTCTGGGAACACGCGCTAGCTGAAATAAAATAAAAAACGCATCTTAATCTATATACGATTTTCTAGCATACTTGTACATGTAGCTCGCATGTTTTTAGCTTTAGCAAAATGACGAAGTTATAAAAAAATATTCAATATTTTACCGAAAGAATTTGGTAAAGAAAAGCCTACGACTTACCAGTTAATTTTACTGTAAAGCTAACATTAAAATTTCAAACTGGTATTTGAGATAGCCTCCGAGTACCAGCCTCGCTCGGTTTAAAAAATTCAGTAGCAAGAAAAACGTGTTTAAAAGTCTAGATGCTGAACTAAACCAAACTCTTCGATACTATAGGGGATTGGATATGAATGTTTCCTTATTCCACCAATTGAATAATATTTTTAAAACCCTCAAGTAAATTTTAAGCCAAAAAATGAATTTTGCTAATCCTCGACGTGCCTAATCTATTTATCTTTATTATTTTTCGTTACTTGTTCCAGCCAGATAACGCTCCAAAACATAACGACTTGGATAAATGATAAAATGTTTTAAGTAAAATAATGGCATTGAATCCTTTATGCTGGTGACTTTAGTTGTCAGAACATAATATGCTGTTTAGGTTGGTGTTTCTGTAAGACAATGGTCCGAAATATATTAGGAAACGATAAAAAATGCTTCAGTAAAAAACGACTTTTTTTTGACAACAATCAAAACTAAGATTAATAACCTCGATTATTACCTGTTTTAATCTATTGTAATGATATATTATTTTTTTTGTCTGGTTTTTAGATGTAAGGTTTCGTATGAAAATAATTATCAAAACGTTTTGAAATTTGTAGGGTTATAGGAACTGTCCGTATTGGCGGTTATGAGGTCTGTCCGTATTGGCGCATTTCACTTTATGTAAATTCATATAAATTTTTTTTTAAATGTCTTTAGAAACAAAGCACTCCATTACAATACCCATGCAGTCATATTTTTAACACCACTTAAGCGTTATCTATTCACCTAACGACCTGACAAGCGACTATATGACCCCACAAATGTTTTCCAATTACTTTTTAGGCAAACTTCTAAAAATACATACTACATTTGGTACACCAACACCATGATTCAATTGCAAGTAGTATAATAAATAAATAAAAAATTAAATCTTCAAAACAAAAAAATCAAGAGAACAAAATCCAATACGAATACCACATATAAAGTGCTGTTCAAAGAAGAATAAAACTCAAAATAAGAAACTAAAAAGCAAACATAATAAAAAGGTAGGATAAAACCGGTACAAAAAATTCAAGAAAAAAGTAAGTGTATATGCACTAGGGTACAGCATGGACAAAACAAAAATCAAGACGAAAGAAACGAGTAAAACAAAAATGTGAGTACAACAAACAAAACCTACAAGACTAAACTATAAATTAAATACGACAAAATCAAATGAGTTTAAGAAAAAACCACAACAAAAATCTTATATATTTACTTACTGAAGACATACGTACATAATATATGATAAAAACACAACAAATACTCTTACGAGCAGTGAAAAACCAAAAAAAAAAAAATCAAAATCTTAAGCGATCGCGCTGAAGGGGCAAAGACGCACGCCTGTGTGTGTGTATTTACGTATGAGCGCAAAGCAAATACGCACAGGCGTGCAGCAGGACGATAAGCAGTAAACAATAAAGTTCCAATTGAAAGTAAACGCGATTACGCGCATGCACGTGTGTGTGTGTGAAGCAAAAATAAGGGGCAACTACTGTTAAGCAGTGCATCACTCTTACACTTGAGTATTTATAACAGAAAAAGTTGAGAAGCAATAATAATTTTTTCATAACAACACACACCCTGTGCTACAGGCAGAGAATGTTAATGAATTTTCATTGTGAATGCGCTGTTGTCGCATAACATTTCGAATTTTCAAAACGGTCGCTGGCATACGTTTGCAGCACTCTGTAACATTTGCACTAGTTCGTGTGTGTATTTGCTTTTGTTTGTAGGCAACGAAGCAAAGTGTAAACGACCGTATGCAGAGAAAACTACCACCACCATGTATACCGATGTACCTATTGCGTGGAGTTTTTGTATTCATAATTTTGGGTTGTCTCTTCTTGCTGGCAATTGTACAAATAATTTTACGTCGAGCGATGGCAAAATAAAAATTCGAAGTTAATATCAAACGTCAGTACGTCGAGAGCGTTCAGCGAGTATAATTCATTAGTTTACAGATACTCTAGTGAAGAAACGTATAGCGTTAGTGCATTGAGTTTTCTTTACTCAATTACGCACGTACTCGTATTGAAAATATTTGAAGTACTATAGAAAATATGAAAACAAATATATAAATTTGTGTTTTTCAAAATTATTTGAAAGAAAATACTTACAAAATAGTGTTAATAGTGCTTGAAAAAACTTGTGTCTTTATATTGGCACAAAGCACAAAAGCAACGAGTAAACTTTTGACATTTCGTGTGATTGCATAGTGAGAGCAGCGCAAGCACATAAGAGCAAACAAAGAGATATAGTGGAGTGGAGCTATATTGTGCTTACTGTGGGAGACCTGCAAGTGGGGGCGATTTACTTGGAAAATATTAAAAAGTAATATTTTCTTAAAAAGCCTTATGCAGTGACAATAAATTGTTGAAAATTAATAATAATTTTAAAAAATTTTCTGCCAAAACGCTAGTGTCTACAGTGCATAGCAGTGGGTGCAGGTTAGGTGGAGCTGGCTAAACAACGAAACTGTACCCCAAGTGATTCGCACCAATTGAGCATTGAAATAGTGTGGAAGAATCATCGTATAAAAAACAAAAGTGGGGAAACCAACAAGTTTTGGCGCGAAAACTTTTGACAAGTACCAAGTATTTTGGCATTGGAGACTGAAAACTTGTAGCAACAACACAACGTGTTTCAGGAAATTGCTGAAAAACACTCAGTTGAATAAAACAACGTCATTGGCAAAGTGTAGGAATTATTGAATTTTATTTTGTATTGCTTTGCATAATTAAGCAAAATAAATAAGTAAAAAATAATAAACGCTTATTTCAAGGTTAAGTGTTGTTGCAAGCATTTTGTTGGCAAAAAACATAATAATAAAGCCATTGCATAGCAATAAGCAAAGGAAGTGTTTGCAAAAGACAATCGGCAGTGCTCGTAATTATATTTCAGTGACATTTATTGTTTGTTAAGCAATATTTTAACAAGTATTATAAGTGATGACTGCTGCACGTGTTATAAATCCAGTGATTTTAACCGAATTCTGTAAGCTGCGCGCTAGTCCGAGTGCAATGGGACGCAATATGACTTGTAATCGTCAGTTGAACCGTATTAAGCGTGATCTCTTTGGACCAGCCAACCCGGTGGAAACACAAAAGTGAGTGCCTGTACTAAAGATAAATATGACGTGCCTTAATTGTATGTAAAGATTTATGTAATTATTAGAATATGTTAAAACAATCCAGATTTTTCGACATCCCCGCATGTACAAATCCCGTCCACGCAGAATTTTTCAAATTGTAGCATAAAATGCTTATGAAATAGTTTTTTGTATGTAGTGTTAGACATAAAAGGTTATAAAAAGATCTTTATATGTATTTTGATCGATCAGCATGTATGGCAGCTATAGGATATAGTCCCATCTGATTACATTCTTCAAAGATTATTGATTTCACTATTGTTGAAGATATGTGTCTAGTCAAATAAAAAAGTTTTTGATACAAGGACAATATTTAATCATTCAGTTTGTATATCAGCTATACACTATAGTGCCCCATTTAAACAATTTCTTCGGAGATTTTACCGTTGCCTAGGAAAGTACTTCAGCTTCTGGGGAGAAAAGAGCGTGTATTAAATTTCAGATGGATATCTTAAAAACTAGAGGAGTAGCTTATACTCCGACGTTTCCTTATGGGTGTTACAAAATACTTCTTAATTTCTCCTTTTTCAATTTTACATCTTTGTTTATTAAAATTAAGCTTGATTTTCTTCAATCTCTTATCTCCCTATAAATAAAAAACTTAAAATTAAAAAAAAAAATATTTAAAATAAAAAAATTAAAATTGAAAAAAAAATATTTAAAATAAATAAATTAAAATTGAAAAAATATATATTTAAAAAAGGTATATTTAAAAAAAATATTAAAAAAAAAATTAATAAAAATATTATTCAAAAAATTAAAAAAAAAATTACTAACAAAAATTTCCTTACTTCTCCACAGAGCCTTCGCCGAGGAACTGGACAAACATCAAGATCGTGCTATAAAAAAATGGGGTTTTGACTTCCGCAACGGCTCCCCACTCACCACCAACACACAATTCGTTTGGGAGCGTATTTCCTATCAGGAATCAAATTGCGCACCCGAAGTCTATACACTAACGCGTGCTGCACATGTACGTCCTGCATTGGTGGTGCCGTCAAATGCCGATTTACTAATGGACGAACGGGCCGAACGTGAAAATTACATGATGAACACATCAACATCGACCGACACAGATTCCTGCGGCGATTATGACTCACAGGATGAGTCGTTGGTGTTCAAAGTACCCGACACCGAACATAGCGGCAGCAATAAGCGTGCGCATAATAACAGTGCTGCTGGCAGATCGCCACTGCGCAAGCGCCAGCCGAAAATTACAGGTAAAAATAAAAAAATAATCACTTTAAACTATTTACTTGCTATAAAAACTCGCTAATTATTAAAGTAATAAGCTTTTTTTTGTAGAAAAGTAGTTATTAACTAGTGGCATCGATATCCTTCGTTGACTTCGTAGATAAAGTGCTAGATTTCGTTTTTTTAGCGCTGCTCATTCAGGCGTGTAATAATGTTCTTATTACGAAAGCGCACTTCCTTTAAAAGCAATTTATGCGTTCGTCGGTGGATTGATGTGTGGGAAAATGTTTGAACTAGCTTTTGTTAATATCAAGTAGTGTACTAATTGCTTGGCATAAACTGTTATATTAATATTGTGTTGCTCAATATAGCACCAAAAATTGCTGAATTTCACCACCGGCCGCCAATTTAGTTTGTTGGCGTGAGAATTTCTTTTTTACGACCCTAGCTTGTAGCGCTTGATTGAGCATAGTTTTTGTTGCCATGTAAATGCCTATTATATTCATTTATTTTTACTTTATAACAGCAGTGTAATGTGTGTGTTTGTGCACGTTTTCCAAAATGTACGTTATAAATACAGGAAACCAATATTTCACGCAATAATTATGCACAAAATCGAATTTACATATTGACATGTAGATATGTATAAATGTATGTATGTGTGCAGCCTTGATTAAATGAACTTCGTTATGGTTTTATGGTTTTTAACGGTCATTCGGCCATTTGCGCAGTCAGCTTTTTATTTGAATTTGAATGTAGGCGTCTGCAAAGCACTTTTCTACAAACTACCCTAACATGATTTTTTGGATTTTTCTTTCTACCAGCATTAAGCAAGCAGCAATGAAAAAACGCATATAAAATACTAATTAAAGTCTGATTGCAGCACTGCTCACGTTTTATGTAGTCTTTGTGGTTTCGTTTTTTATTTTTTTTTTTGTGATTTCCTAAACAGAATATCGATCGACGGACTTCCTGTGCGAAGTTTACGCAATTGACATACATTGCGGTGTGCCTTTTGTATCAGCGGCAATACGGCTGTGTAGGCGTATCAGTCATCAATGTTTGCAGGATATGTAATTTCGACGATTTCAAATCATTTCCGGTTAAAGTAATACAAAATCAGAAAATTTGCGAGGAAAAAAAATAAAATAAAAAATGAAAAAACAATTGTCCATCAAAGCAAAGCGCTTACAGCTATTGAAAAAATATACTGAAAGTGTTTTTGACAGTTGGTAAAAAAATCTGACTCCAACGAGCTGGTATTAAGTAAAAGTAGTCGCTGGCACAATCAGATAATTATAGTGTTGCTGCATTGTGTTCCATTATTGTTAGCCAGCGCAAAGGCTAGTCGCTTGATATGTATAGCGAGTAAAAAATATAATTATGAAAGGGTCATATATGTTATTTCAAAAGCACAGTGTGTCGGGACTGGCGAAAGTGGAAAAATGTTTTTATATCGGTTTTTTTTTGGTGCAATGGTTTATCAATCGCGCTTTGAAGATCTCAGTAAAATTTTCTTAATGACCTTAAATTGCTATTCAATTTTCATTACTTTTTTTTTGAAAATAAAAAAAATTCAAAAAATTTCTACCAAAAATTAATTTTTTTGAAAACACACTGTGCCTGAACCTCAAAATCTTCACATACACAAAAAGGTTCGTATCGATCGTCACACATATATTGTTTGCTGCACAAGTGATTCACATTTAACACACCACCGCACAGACAAGAAGGCACATCGCTGCGCTTGGTGGTGAGTCCAGCGGGACGCAGCTGTGCAGACAGCACAAAGCTGTGCGCTTTTATATGCAGTGATCAAACGTCTATTGTAATATAGTGCCTACAATAGTCAGCCACCACATACATACATACACATGAACGTGTATAATCGCAGTTTTCCAAAGCGTCGCCGCGCATGTAAAACCCACCCTACATTGTAAGCGCTGCCTGCTGATGAGGGGGATGCTTACAAGCGATGCTGCCACCATCAGCAAGTTCAGCCGTACGCCACGCTATGCTTACAAGCGATGCGCAATGCGGCCACTGTCATATTGTATGTATGTTTACAACATTTTTATATAGATTTGTGCATATGTTTGAATATTTTCCTGCTTTCAGAAAATTCTTTTTATTTTACATGTGTGCTTTGGAAAAACCAGCTCATCCACTAACCTCCGACACATCATCAACATATATTACATAAAGGCCTTTACCTTACCCTGTGTGTGTGCTTAGGTACATGTATTGATCGGGGGAAATTCGTTGAAAATATAAACAGCTGTGCACATTTCATTCGCAAGCGTCTGTAAAATATTGCTGCACCTTTTATTTTTCATCAAAACATGTGTGTTCGCTGCCCTTTTGGAAGTGAAAATCAGTTTCATTGTGCGCCTGCGCACACACTTTGCTACGTTCCAGCAGCCATTGTGGCTGCACATGCTGCCGAAATGCGTGGATTCATTAATGTCGCTTTGCATTTGCACGCGCGATAATATTTGAGCATTTTTGTATTATTTTTTGTTTGCTTTCTCTAATTAATGCCTACAAATTCTGCGTTATCGCGGATTCTGTGTCTCTATATGTATGCGCGTTGATTATTTTAAGCTACATACTCGTTTATTGATTTTGATCATAATTCGCTGCCGTCCTTGCATTTAATGTTAAAAATAAATATTTTTTCTACAACACAAACCTTCAATTTATATTATCAATTAGCTGTTAGACAGCTCGTAGCTGCTTTTTCATTGCTTTTTGCTTGCATTTCGTCTGTAGATTTTCGTCAACACATAATTTCAATTTGTTTTTCGACAATTTGCTGCTACATACGCATTCTCAATTATTCAAAATGCTATTTGTTTGTTGTGTGACCAGCATAAATGTTCCAAAAACCGCGCTTGTTAAGCCAATTAAAGCAGTCAGCCGCATGTAATGTAGCAATCTTTGATTTTCTTCCGTTTCCAATACGTTGCGCTTGAGCCTCGCGCGTTTTTCTGTGGTACTTGAAGTTGTTGCGCTTGAATAAACACAGAGATTTCTTTTTTTTAGAACAGAGCATTGCTTTATTTAATTTTTTTTTTTTGGAAACATATACATTTGGGCGCTTGGTGCTCAAGCGCAGTACACACTTGTGTGACAATTATGTTGCTGCGCTCAAAACCACATACAAAGCCGCAACTTTGTAGACAGTTTTATTGTTGTATCTGCAGAAAATTTTATAATATTAGTTATTTTAAAGCTTCTCAGTAGTATTAAAAAATTGTATATTATTTCTTTTTATTTTTATTTTTGAATTTATTTTTATAATTTGTACTATTTTTTATCTAGTTTTTTTTATTTCTAATGTTTTTTATTCTTAATTTTTATCTTATCTATTTTATTTTTTTTTATAATAAATCGATTATAATTTTTTAAATTCTTTATTTTTATATTATCTATTTAAATTTTTTATATGATATTATTTTAATTGTAATTTTTTAATTTATAATTTTTATATTATCTATTTTAATTTTTTTATGTTATATTATTTTAGTTGTAATTTTTTTAATTAATAATTTTTATACTATCTATTTTATTGATTTTTACTTTAATTCTTATATGTTTTAATACTATTTATTTTGTTTTTTAATCTTCATTTTATTTTTTAATGTTTTTTATTTAATTTAATTTTATTATAATATATTAATTATATATTTTTTTAGTTATATTGTTTATTTTTTATCTTTTATTGTAATTTTAATTTTATTTACATTTTTAATTTTATTAATTGGTTATATTAATTTTTTTTTTAATTTTATTAATTTTTTTAATTCTATTAATTTTTTTATTATATTAATTTTTTTATTATATTAATTTTATTTTTTTAATTAAAATTTTTTATTTTAACTTTTTTTGTTAATTTTAGATAGATTTTTATTGATTTTTTTTTGTTAATTTTACATATTTTTTTTGTTATTTTAAAATTTTTTTTTTGTTTATTTTTAAAATATTTTTTTTTAATTTTTGTTTTATTTTTAGTTTTAATTTATAATTTATATTCAACTTTTTAAATACTTTTATATTTTAAGGCATATTGTGCACCCTGTTACTAAAATGCAAAAGTGGCAGTGCCGTCATTAAAGTATTTATTTCAAATAACAGCTTCAAACTTAAGTGCTCTAAATAAAATTAAAACAAAATATATTTGAAACTATTATTGTTGTTGTTCTAGTAGCATAAAACATAGCTAAAATAGGTTTAGGATATACTGTCTAGCTCATAGTTCTGGACTGCCTATAAATACAGCTCCGTTTGGGTTACGTAGGCTTGACTGTTTTGCACACAGTCCATAAATTCTTGCACTAGTGCTGTTGTATATCTACAATATTTGAAAATATGTTGATACGAACGCGATTCACACTCTAATTATGCCGGTAGACGCGAGTTATTTGACGCGCGTCAAAGAAAAACTGCTATTGATCACCAATTCTGCTGCAATTGTCAGCTGCTTTTGCTGCCAAATTTACCTTACACACTTTATGCGGGCAGCGCCGTTTTGCTTTTTTCAAGTGACTAATGCAACTTCATCCTTTCAATCGTCCTTTACGTTGAGCATGTGCAACTTTCCGCACATACACACACACATAAATGGGCATTAATTGTGCGGAGCCGTAAGAAAGGTAAATAGAAGCGTCATGCCTTTGGCTGCGCGCATGCACTGATTGCCAGTCATAAAAGTTGTATCGTGGCTGTGTGCCTGGCTGCCAGGCCGTCAGTCAGTCACGTGCCAACACGCGCTCGCTTTGTGTACTTTACCTATATGTACATATGTGTGTACTTACCTACCTTTGTTTATATATAGTATGTATATAGGTAGTGCATTTCCTTGATCTGACTTTTGCTTGCCTTTTGTTGAACCCGTATACCACACACACTTGCGCGCTTACCCGTAGAATTCTCGCCAAAAAATTTCTGTTTTGTTTGATATTTGCTCCTTAGGGGGATGTAATACTACTGCCAAGTCCGCGCAATGCATATTTGCGTGCGTGTGCCGTACTGCCTTCTCTTTCGCTGCACTTTTGCTCTTGTTTACTTTTTTGGTACGACCGAGTATATTATTGTTTTTGTTTTGAGTGAAATTCTAGTTGTTTTTTATTCTTCTTGCTTATACGTATTTTTCCAGCTTTAGTGGTGTATTTTTGCGTTTTTAGGGCAGATTTCTATCGCCTTAAGAGGAACTTTAAAGCATGCGAAGCGCAAAAATTTAGGTTTTCAAAATTGAATTGAACTGTTTTTGTTGTTGTAAATCTGCAACAATTCAAAATCGCGTTTTGTTTGCCATTTTTTTTATTATAAAATGTTGAATATGCCTTAAAATATATAAATTTTCTATTTTACTGTACTTCATTTACACATTTTCATCACCTTTTTGGCTCTACTAAAACATTGTTTCTCTCTTTTTATCTTACAGAATACATGAAGGAGCGCAAACGCCTCGCCCAAACGCCGAAAAAGGTCTCACCCGCCAAGCGTGCGCGCACCAGCTCGGGCAGCAGCACAGGACCCAGCCACAGCACGCATGCGTACAGCATTAGCGCGCATTTCTCACTGCAGCGAAGTTTACAACGCAATAATTAAATGCAGCAAGCAAGCAATGCTTTGCAAATTTTCCAACCTTAAATCTAATATAATTAGTATATAATGAACTATATACCAGCATACATATACATATATAAATAATTAATTGTAGCTAACTATATATTAATAGCTATTAGTTACTCATAAATGCATAAATATATATATACATATATTTCATAGTGTATATTGAATTGCGTACATTTGTAAGCTAGTTTCACCCATTAGTTGTGTAATTTTTTTTTCTAATTTTTATTTTAATTTTTTCTTTAATTAAAAATTTTTTGTTTTAATTTTTTAAATTTAATTATTGTTATAACATTTCAAAATCAAGCCATAAACATAGTTGATTTAATGTAAAATTCAAAATGTCAAAATGTACGGTTATACTTGAAGTCACTCGCTTGCAAAACGGTTTTTTAACTCTTTGCTATAGCTTCAGGTTAACTGTGCTATTTTTTCTAACAGATTTAAAAATTTGAAAATTTTCTGTATATTTAAGCCAAGAAGCGCAAATTTAATTGAAATAACTGTTTAAATATGCACATATAGACTACGAAATTTTGTAAGACCAACAAAAAAAAAAAAAATCAGTAACTAAACAACTAAGCTAAATTTGAAAACGAAAATATATGCAAAATTTATACTGTAAGTTGTACGAAAGTGGCAATACCATTTATAAATTTACAACAAAATTTACAAACAAAAAAACAGAACAAAACACACATATACACACCTATACATATATACATTTATGCCAAAATTGAAAACTTAACTAATAAGCTAGATCATATAAGCACACATCATGATGAATTGTAAATAGTTTAAGTTTCAAAATGTTGCATTGCACTTTCAAAAATGTCAAATATCAACAATCGAATACAAAGTATACGAAGCAAAGCAATATTTGACATTTCAACAACTGTAATGCAAGCAAGAAAATTCCATTTAACTCTTGAAAATTGCGCTCGTGCATTGTTTGCGGGTGTACAAGCTCAACGCAAAATTTAACGCTTTTTTGTTATTTTAATTTAAAAAAAAACGCTAACTTTTGCGCCTAATATGTGCCACGGTAGTTGTAAAAACTTGAAAAATTGTTAAAATTTTTTTCAAAAACGCTGCCAAATTGTCGTAAAGTGTCGAAACGGCAAATTTTCCAAACATTGCTTGACACGTGATTTTCAAAAATTTGTTAACTTACTTTTTCAAATACCTTAAACCTAACTATACGCCTTAAACGAAGTACAAATTGTAAAAATTATTAATTTTCTAAGCAAGTACAAATTCATTTTCGGTTTAAAACGCACAACTTTTGGGTATATTTAGAAATTGAGTTATTTGCATAAAAATGCATATAAACTGTAACATAATTAACATTAGTTAAAATTAATCACAGGCAAAATTTACAATAATCAAAACTTACCATGATCAAAATTCACCACGGTCAAAACTTACCACGACCAAAATTCACCACTGTTAAAATTTAAAACCTTTAAAATTTAACACTAAAAATTCAACTGTTAAAATTTAACACTGTAAAAATTCACCACAGTCGAAAGTCACTACAAACAAAACTCACCACAGCAAAAATGCCGCAGAGTTAAAACGCACTGCAGCCGCCTACCCAGTGTGCACTACAGTGCTCCTAGAAAGGCAAAAACAACGCTTGTAGCAAACAAAAAGCTGCAAATGCAATTGCAAGCAATTTTTGCTTGCTATTGGTCGACTTACAACTTTACAAAAATGCTTGCTGCCTGCGCATGCTGCTTGTCGTTTGCAACCACATAGCACGTTATTGGCTATGTTTTTCTTAAAAGCATTTCATATTACTTAGTCTAAGCGTTGCCATAAGTTTCACAAAATCACACGCTGCTCAAACTGTTTACGGTTGTTGTTTTTGTTGTATTTTTTTTATATACACTCACTGCAATCTAGTTGGAGCAGTGTCTTGATTTTGCCTGCTATTTTATCAACTATAACTATATTTTGTAGTACATTTGTAAAGCTGGAAGCGAGTGGAGCGAGTGCTGCATGCATAACCGCAATCTTTGTAACACCCGTTCACTTAACTGTATAATTCACTGTTTTTTATTTTTGTATCAAAGCTAATTAACTACATATATTAACGGTATTTGTAAGGTATCATAAGTATATCTAATATAATACATACATAAAAATATTCAGTGATTACAATAAAAAGTCAAATACAAAAACAAAACAAATGCAAATATAAATAATAAACAAAACGAAATTAAAATTGTTTTTTATTTTTTTATGACTTTAATTTTAATTTTGTTCCTAGCTGTCGATTTCAGACCGTCAAAGATAACTGAAATTTATGAAAATATTGTTTTTGTTGTTGTTGTAGTGGTAATCTCTAAACTCTATTTCCATGGAAGGTGAATTTGCCATCAATATCAGCACACAAAAGGTTGGTAAAAAATTCGTCCGACAAACATTTCTACTTTATCAGCATTGACCCGGATTTTAGTTGACACTGCGGTGATCTAACTATGTGCGAATCGATAAGCAGTTGCTACTTACTTATGTTCCGAAAATGTTTCCTCTTTTTACACGTTTTTACCAAGAAAAGTTGGCGCTACTAAAATAGTGAGGTTATGTGAAGTTACATAGACGGACTTCGGCTTCGTAGATTCCTTCGGGGACAATAGCAGCATGATAATAACTAAACACCTTTTTTATTTATTTTTTGAAAGTGAACGCATTTAAGGAGACACGTTCCCCCGACCTTACGACACTGAGTACTTTAAGCAATATGTTCTCGATAATGCCTTAATCCAACTCAAGTTCTTAGCAAACTACACGTTCACAAATATAGTTAGCTGAGCAGTAAGCCTAAGGCAGCGGTCCAAATGGTATTAGCATATCGAAACCATAGCTCTTGGTTCGACGAAATTTGACTTAATTCCATTAGCGAAGGGACCCAACGCAGGAATGTTCTAAATACTCAGCGTATATCGACGATCATTGTGTTAATAAAACGGTACAAAAACAGCGACGAAGTGGACTAGGGGTAAAATGGTGCAATCGAAATAGTCTTATCTTCAAAAGGAGGTTATTGTCAATAATAGTATTTACATCATTCCACAATACTTTGTAAAAGTGGGTCTCAAAGTGTGGAGTTTATCTGGGTTTGGTCCGTATATAGAGTTATTAGTATGAGCTAATAGCATATTTAGCAAATTTGTATTTAAAGAGTATGTAAGATATAGCCTGGATAGGGTTTAAAAATGTCGAAAATTTTGAGTAACCGGCCGATATTAGCATGTCGTATGTCGAGTGCAACACAGACCGGCTATTAAAGTAAGAGTTTTGGTCATTCCGGGTGAGACTGTGTGCAGTCGTGGTTATCTGAAACTTATGTTATATAGTGATTTTGCTGCTGTTTTAGGCGGTTAATGATATTCAATCGATATCTAAATCAAAGATATCCAAAGAGTTTAACTAAGGGATTCATATAAAACACCGCTGAAAGTCACGGTCTTAAACTCGAATATTTTTAGTGTAACTTGGTGCACCGAATAGTTTACATTAGGAACAGGACTACTACATCCCTGCGAAATCAAATGAATATATAGCTACGTTTGTTGCCATTCGTGCTGAGCATTCGCTCAATATCTTCAACCTGTTATCATTATGCAAAGCGTACCGGTATCCAAAATGACTGTTCCTCCCGACAGTCGGGTATACGTAACTGGTACAGACTCGGATTTTTATCCGACCAAGAACTGTCAAACCGGCAACATCCCTACAAATTACTGCAGCACTGTTTCCTGCCGCTACAACTACTACAACTACTATGACCAATTGCCGATATTGCTAGCAATGTTATTTTAAGCAGTCCACTTTATGTTTGATAGCACCAACTGATGATACTCAACGACTTAGATGGTTTATAGTTCAGCTCTTCCTTAGTTGCTTGACAAAGACCACTTGGACGATTTTTGACTGCAAATAGAAATCCATTAGTCTATATTAAGCAGGAAAACAAGTGACCCCTATCTGTTGACGGGTTTCTTAGTTATTAATAATGGTTACCGCTTTTAACTTATGAAATAGGGTCTCGGATACTTGAGCTTTATTAATAATGGTTACCGCTTTTAACTTATGAAATAGGGTCTCGGATACTTGAGCTTTCTCGTTAGTAATTTGATGAAAAATCTCCTTCTTCTTAGTACTACTTATTTGACGTCTGTCTTTGAAGAGTGAAATATGGCTTGTCGGCGTAATTATATGTGTACCATTTCGGGTTTGACGACACCTATGAAAATCTATGAAAATTCCATTCGCATATTATGTCGAATTTCCATACGCTGAAATTCTCTTGGTGCGTATATCCGATTCGTCTAATAGTATGACAACAATTAGACGATCGGATCGAATTGATATCTTTTGAAACGTCAACAAGCTGGAGGTTGATGAGAATTTGAAGCCGCACCGCGCTTATATTGTAATATAGATATCAGACTCAAAGACTACGTAGTTAGTTCTTTACCCTTAAGTATAGGTCAGCTTAGCTCTCAGCAGGTTTTGGAACTTTCGCAAAGCTGTTAGGTGTGCGATTTTAACTCGCTGATCCACCACTGATTTGCTGCTTCGACATTTGAACTTTTGTAATTTTTTATTTAATATGCAATTTCTGCAGCGTTTTATTTATTTAAATTATAATTTACTAATAAGTTTACATAAAATAATAATTAAATTAATAATATTACATTTCATCAAAAATAAATCTTTAGCTTAAAAAAAAAGTCATGGTTTATTTAATCTCGGTATCTTTTTAAAATAAAGAGCGGAAATATTGCGGACTAGATTTAGCTACATGCCAACCAGTTCGTACTAGCGTGCGTTTGCGGGTAGCTTAAGCACCACCAGAAGATTTGCCGCTGGCCGTCGAACCGGTTTTATTCTCCAATTGCGCCTGTAGCTGGCGTACATGCTCGCCGGTATTGTTGTGTCGCTGGAAGAACGCATTAATGGAGCTCATGGAACGGTATTCCAAATTATCGCTGACATTCCAGTCGACGCTAATGCTCTGATGACGCGCCATCGGATTGCGACACTTATTCGACTCGGTCTCGTTGTATTTCTCCAGCAGATGTAAGAGACAGTCTTTGGTGGTATTAGCCGCCTCTTCAAGATTAACCGCTTGATGAATATTCGGCACGCCGATTGGCACATCACGTGACATTTGATTGATGCGAAATTTGGCACGTCGTACACTCGCCGATTCGTTGGTCTGACGTTGCAGCATGCTTTCGTCGTTGCTAGCCATCGACACTGTCTTCGTTGTCTTAACGGTTGACGTTGTGCTTTTCGAGCTCGATTTGTTGACTGTGCTATTTAGGCTGGATTTCCAGGGTACACCACAGCTTGGCTCTCCATTAGTTAGTTTCGGTGTCTCTTCGATCGATTGCTGTAGACGCATGGAGACTGTGCTGAATTTCGATTTCACGCCATTTGCATTTGATATACTACTGCTATAGTTTGTTGTTGTATTTGAAGAGGTTGTTGTTGTTGTGTTGCCTGATACCTTTGTGGTTTCGCTACTTTCGGTTTTTACCACTTTATTTTTGCCAGTGGTCGCTGTCTTTTTGCACGTAGCCTCTTTAGTCGCTGTACTCGTTTTTACTTTAGACGTCTCGCCGCTAGCTTTCGCCCTGCTGTGCTTGTTATTATTCGCATCCGCGTCTAACTTTGTCTCACTGCCGAGTTTGGTGTTGATCTCCGCCAACATAAGCAAATGATCGGACAATTTTCGTATTTCTTCGGCCAAATTAACGCGTTCACCCGAAGCGCGTCGTCCGATCAAATAACTTGTGTCCGAATTGCGTCGATCGAAGGTGTGTAGATAGCTCTTCATGCTGCGTTCCTGTTGATTGAGATTTGTACCGCTACCGCCGAACTCATCACCAAAACCGCGACGTCCGAGTAGCTGCTGCGCACCGTATTGCAGCGGCGGCTGTGGTGTGGGCGTAGTGCTGGTCGGTGTGGGTGTAGCGCCGCCTGAAGTGGGCGCCAGCGAGATGCTGCTGGGGAAAAGTTTCTCGCGTGACTCATTAATCGGTGTGGCTAGTGTACTAGGGCTGTCATTGTCCTGCTCGGCATTGCTGAACACATCATCATCGATGACAGTCTCTATAGACTCGCACGGCGATGGTGAGCAAACTGTGCGACGCATGCGTGTGGGAGAGAGAAAAAAGAGAGTTAAACATTAAAAAGTTAGCTTGCTTTAGTTTGTACTTACATACATACATTTATATGTATGTATTTTGTATGCGAAAGCTAAGCGGAAAGGCCATTGTTTTCAAGCTATTTAATACATAATTTGTTTTCAACGTTTACGACATGCAGGAAAGCAACAAGTTAAAAAAAAACCATATTTTTTCATGCTTGAAAATATTTATTTAAACAACTTTTATATAATAACAATTTTATACCCTTAACAGGAAATATTTAGTTTGTCACGAAGTTCGTAACACCCAGAAGAAAACGTCGGAGACCGTCTGCATATACTAGTCGAACTAGTCCCTCAGTTTTTGAGATATCGATCTAAAATTTTGCACCCTTCCTTTTCTCATCAAGAAGCTGTTTATTTGGCAGAAGCGCCGATATCGGACCACTATAGCATATGGCTGATATACAAACTGCTCCAACAAAACCAAGTCTATGTATGGACAACTTTTTTATTTGACATGATATCTTTACGAGTTTTAGCATATATTACTATTCAAGTATTGAATCTCAAAATAAATTGTTCAGATCGGACCACTATTTTATATGGCAGGAAATCTTTACGGAATTTCACACAGATTATAGTTCAAGGCAGCGCCACAATCTCTAATTAAAGTGTTCAGATCAGACCACTATAGCATATGGCTGCCATACAAACTGATCGATCAAAATCAAGATAGTAATCTTTTTATACCCTTTTATGCTATAAGAAATACAGCTGCGTAGGGTAACGTTTTTTCTTGTTTTAATACAATTTGATGCTACGTAAATTTTTCATGAATTGGATGAATATAAATTAATGTAAGAAAAAAGTTTAGTTAATGCTTTATCACTCCAGTAAACAACAAAATACTCGTACTCAGGATTGAGAGTTTTAAAACAATAGTATTTATTCTCAAATTCATATTCATTAAATTTTGTCGGTATATATATTTCATAAATATCCGAAAAATTCTTAGTAGAATCCAAAAGGTAGCCATTTCTGACAAATTTTCGAAATTTTATAACTAAAATACAGCAAACGATCAATAAACCAGGATATATAAATACATTCGTCGAATGGATGAAATGTTTACATGAAGTGAAAGTATTATTCATCTAATGGATGAAACCGTGAATAAGCATCAGATTTACTCAATCATACATAAATAAAATAAATATTTTGTTATTAAGCTTATGCTGTGTGAACTATTACTTCGATGAATGATGAATTTCAACAAAAATTTTGTGAGCGCTAACGAATTGTATCCAAAGGAAATATCTGGCAACGTTACTACGGTGCAAATATGCGATTTATGAACAGTATTCTATATATTGGGATCAGCAATCGCTTACCTCAATACTTGTACAATAGATGTCGCTCCGTATGACATAACTGTGATGCTGTGTTTGTATAAATGTGGATATTGTACGTCACAGGCAAATATATTTGTTTTTATTTTGTTGTTGTATATGCTTAAATTTGTTGTTTTGATAAATATAAGTTTAAGTATCACAATAGATTGGTTTAGTTAAATACGAAAATAAAAATTATTTAAACTCGATCCTTGAACGCTGAAAATCGCGTAATTTTCTGAATCTCATCCATTCTATGAAACTAGCTTGTTCCATCTGTCTGTCTAATAGCGAATTAGTTCGATAATTTTTGAGATATCGATTTAAAATTTTATTTTTTCATTTTCTCCACGAGTAACAGCTTTTTAGCAGAACCGCCAATATTGATTTGATCGGAATGAAGTGTTTGTATGGAAAACTTTTTCATTTGTTTTGATATCTTCACGAAATTTTGCATCGCTTATTAAAAAAAAAACCACTAGAATATGCGAAGTTATTGTTCAGATCCAACCCCTATAGCACATAGCTGTCATACAAACTGACTGGTTCAAGTCAAGTCCTTGTATAGAAAACTTTTTTATTTGACAAGTTATCTTCACGAAATTTGTCATAGCTTAATATATAATACCATGCTACAATCTCCGCATAAATTATTCAGATCGGAACACTATTGCATATAGCTGTCATACAAACTGACTGAGTCAAGTTAAGCTATTGTATGGAAAACTTTTCTATTTGACAAGTTATCTTCATAAAATTTAGTAAAAATTTTTATATAATGCCAAAATACAACCTCCATAAAAATTGTTTAGATCGGACCGATATAGTATATACCTGCCATACAAACTGACTGATAAAAATCAAATTCTTGTACGGAAAAACTTTTTACTTAACGTTTTTTCCTTTACTGATATTATTTAAAAAAAAAATTGCGTTATGCTTTATTTTATCGGTTTCTTTTAGCTGTTTCGCATAAATCGTTGTTTTTGGAGTAATTCGTCGAATCGACAAAAAGTTGTTAACGAGTCAAAGAAATATTATATTATTTTACATGATTTAATATCCGTATATTTCTCTTTCTTTCTTTGGTTGCTTATCACAGTAGGAGAAATTTTATGTAATTATATTATATAAATATTTATATGTATTATAATATTCTTTTATATTAATTATTTTAAATAAATATGTTATAAATGATTAGTCACACTTAAGAACTAGTAAAGATAAAATAGTTAATATTTGGCATTCATATACAGACATAAATATAATATTATTTTAAATTCGTCAAGAATACATACAAACAAATTTAAGAAAAATTAAATTTTTATACAAATTTTATAAAAAAAAAATATTTTTTTTTTACAAAAGAACCAACACATACAGAATTCATTAGAAAACACGAAAATGCAGTAAAAACATTTGTATGCAGTTATTAACTGTGTTTTTTTGTTTTTGTATTACAATTAATTTGTAAATTTTTACATTGCCTGTTGAAAGTATGTGTACATGTTTGTGCAATATTCTGCTTTTATGTTGAAATTTCTTGTGTGTTTTACGCTTATTTGCCTAGTATGAGCTGTTGCTGCTGCCGCTGTCGCAGTCTTCGCCGGCAGTACTCACCTCGTGACGACGAAATGCTATCTGGGCCGTGTGTCTTGTTAAACGATGTCTCACTGAGTGGCGCAATCACATTACTTTCCACATCGAACACGTAGGGGCTGTTGGGATGTTCCTCCCAACGTTCGATGAAATTCTTCAAATTGTCCTTGGTGGTATCTAGCTCCTTGGTCTGGAAGCGAAAGTAAGAGATTAATAAATATAGAAGCTGTGATCCATTCAATTAGTTGTTTTTAGTAGCTCCCATTAACAGCATATAAGTAAATATGTGATATACCAATATTTAGTAGCGCAAGTTCTGAAGCTATCCTTTGTATCCCTGAGGTATTCATAGAAATGTCAAATAAACTATTCAACCATATTTATTCCTAATCAAATTTTAATAAACAACATACATTGAAAATTTCACTGCAGTCGACCGAGCGTTTCCTGAGTTAGATTAGGTTATTTGCAAAAAATGTGTGGTACCATGCCAATTCTCTTTCGGGTCTCTTAGCTTGATTCGCAGAATGTTTATTTTTAATTAATTAAGAAAACTAATTTCCACAGCACGCTTGACAAGAGAGTTCCGTAATTTCAAAAGTTGGACGGTTAATTAAGTGGCACATATATACGCCTGTTGGACATGGAGCCCTGTGTTCCATCTAGCAACTCTCGGAGAATATATATATATATATATTGGACAATTTTCAATAAGAACCCCTACGATTACGGTAAGACGAATCTTGCTAAGAGCCGATAGTTCAGTGGATCACCTGCGTTCTACTTCAGACCAGAAGGAATTCGAAGTCGCTCAGCAGCTAGTTATTGACCATATTCATAGGTCCAGCTCTAGAACTCAAGACAGCGGAAACACAACTCGTTCCCAATTCAATGAAGAGCTGATCAGTTTTCAGCAGTTTCTAGCGATACCGGTATGACCAGGCACCCAAAGAGTTTGATTACGAATTAGCTTGATGCTATCGATAGTGAGGATAGAGATTTCTTGACTAACTTTGAGCGCACAGTAGGCGACTAGTAGCACAGTAGTACTATCATTCTGCTAGCGAAGTGAATGCTCACCTCGCTGAAAGAGGTTACACTTCGAATCAATACATCTACTGCTACCTTCATGGCAGCAAGCTCTGCTTGAAAAGGGCTTCTGATCCAATAGTCTAAAACTGTGCTTGACGTAGAGCTCATTACAGAAAACCCTCTATCCAACCAACCTTCTGAGGGCCGTTGGCGCTACTGATTTTAACCTAGAAACGAATATCCAAATGCTCCAACGAAAGAGCACAGAAAGGCTCTAATGACAGCAAAGTGCTCTTCATATGCGTAGATTTTGCTCACTGCTTTATTGGAATACCGACGCTTAGGGCATAAATAACTCTTATTACGAGGTCGTACGACCAATAAGGGTTTTATTAAATGAAAATCATTCAAAAGTTTCGTTAGATCTGGAAATAATCTACTTGAAAGTGCTAACTACTTGTATTGTACTTAGAAAATAATTTTGTCTCCAAAAAATATTAATTTTACAGCAAAATACTTAAATTTAAAAATTCAATACCCATATTTTAAAGCGTATATATGAATTCACTTATGGAGTTCCTAATTCGGTCTTAAGATTCCACTAGCATATTTTCTCGCCATAATTAATTCTCCCGCCCAACAGAACAATATTAATTTGCGGTAATTTGGTGTTATATTAGGCAGTTTCCCCATGCATCGACACTTGAAGTTTACTCAGAGACAATTTTCAAATCAAAATTGCGTTGAGAAAATTAAAATTGTTGCAAAGCTTCAAAGTAGCTCAAAGTGTGAGTAATGAAATTAAGTCGCGAAAATCTAATTAGTCTTAAAGCAAAGTAGGAATGCAGAAATTGTTGCCAGGCGAAATCAGTGAAAAGTAGCTAGCTGCCAAATTATGAGCAACAAACGCTCGGTTGTGCGGCAACCCGTTTTCTAAGCAAAGATTTCACAAAAACAACACAGCAATACTTTCTTGTAATTCCTTCTTTCCATTCTAATGCACCACAGCGTTGGATTAATTAATTTGGTTGGCTTTGGGGTGTGGTAGCTGCAGTCCTAACGATGTGCCGAAGCAAGTGCTTTGGTTATAGCATATTTTTTATTCTGTAATTTTTCACTCACCTCCGCCGTGTTCGTATCAGCTGGTATTACAATTGCTTCCTTTGCAGCTTTTTCATCCTCCATTTCTACGGCTGGCTCTGGTTCGCACGCTTCTACGTTTTCCTCTTCTTGCGGTGGCACTGGTGAAGGTGTGGCCGCTTTCAATTTCGGTGGCGGCACATTTGACGGCTTTGGCGCGAGTATTTTCGGCGGTTTGGGTCGGCGCTGCAGCCATTTGTGTTCCAGGCATTGCGCGGCTGTCATGCGGGTTCTGATTGTTGAATGTGGAGAAAAAGAATATTTGAAATTTTGTGTTAAAAATAATGGTTATTAATTAGGAAGCTGCTGAATTTTTTAATTATATAATATTTTTTATATAACCCTGGTGAAACTATAGTATCTTCTTTTTTATTTTCTTTTCATTTTTAATTTAAAAATTTAAATTTTCAGTCTTCGCTAAGCCTTTATTTTAGGATGTAAGCTAGTCTGTTCCAAGATACATGTGTCCTTTGTATTACTTAGCTTAGTGCATATAGTCATTATGTTACTTACTGCAAGTCCTTCACCAGCAGCTTTGCTATAAAATCCAAACACTCCGGTGACACATTACTGAATGACTCATCCTCAAAATCGTATTTGGCGATTGTCACATTTGCCATCGTTTCAATATCTGTTTCACCCATAAACGGTGAGAGGCCGGAGATGCTGTGGGAGTATAAAAAGTCATTAATGAGATATATCAAAATAAGATTGGAAAAAAAATAAATTATATAATGAAAAACATTAAAATTAATTTAATTAAAATGAAAAAAATTTAATTAAAACTAAAAATATTTAATTAAAACTAAAAAAATTTAATAAAAATTGAAAAAATTTAATTAAAACTATAATTGCTTTAATTAAACTTAAATTTAAATTTATAATTAATTAAGACTATTCAAAGTTAAGAAAAATAAACTAATTTTAATATCTTATTTACTTAATTTTTGAACGAAATTAGAGTGAAGTTTATTTTAATTAACTTTAATCAATGTAATTTTATTTAATTTAATTAATTGGTTAATTATTTTGAATTTTTTTATCTTAATTAGTTAAGTTTTTAGATAAGTTAACTTTAATTTTAACTAGCTTAGTTTTAATAAATTTTCTTTTCTTTAATTAACTAAACTTCTTATATTAAAATAAAATATCTTGATTAATTAATTATTTTAATTAATTGATTAGTTAATAATTTTTAAATTACATTAATCCTAAGTGTGATTGAATTAATTATAATTAAGCTTTTTTGTTGTCTGAAGTCAATTAAAAATTAAATATATACTTTTAGTTTAAAGTAAATAGTTAGATAAATCGAGTAAAATTATTAATTAAATTTTATCAGGGTTATTTTTTTTTTTTGATTAATTGCTGAATTATTTTGAGTTTATTTCTTTTAAATAATTAATTTTCTAGATTAGTTTAACGTTAATTTATTATTAGCTTAATTTTCATAAATTTTATATTCTTTAATTAACTTAATTAACTAGTTTTAAGAAAAATAAGATAATCTAAATATCTTGAGTAATTAAATTTTTAATTAATGGATTGATTAATTAAATTTTAATAGTAAATAGTAATATTTTTAAGTAAAATTAATTCAAACCAAATTAGGATTAATGTAATTTAAAAGTTAAATTTTGGTGATGTTGTTTATGTTTAAATTAATTAATTTATTTTTAATTAAATTTTTTAAATTATTTAAATTAATTAATTAATTTTACTTAAGCTTATTTTCTTGTCTGAAATCAAAAAAAATTGAATTTTTACTTTAAGTTTATGTTTTATTTTAATTAAATAAATTAAATAGTTAGATGCAATTAATTAACTAAATAGAGAACTATAAAATTTTCCATAAAATAATATATATAAATTTTTTTAATAATTAAAATTTTAATATAAATTAAATTTGATCGAATTAATTTTAGTTAAGCTTATTTTATTTTATTTTATTTTTTTAATTAATTACATTTTAAATCCATATATTTAAAATTTTTAAAAATAAAATGAATTTAAATTTTTGTGTTAAAACTTACATGTTTTTTCTTAGTGTTTTTCATCATAAATTTAACATTTAATTTTTAAGTTTTGAAAAAATGGAATTAATCAATTTAAATTATAATAAAACTAACTTAATTAAAATAAGATCTAATTAATTTATAAATTAACATAAATTAAAAGAAAGGTATGGATATATATTATATGAATAAATAAAGTTAATTTAATTTATTGAATAATTAAATTAATGGGATTAATTATAATATAAAAAAAATATTTGATTAAATTAATTAATTAAAAATTTAAATAAATTTTTTGCTTCCTAAAATTGAATCGTTTTATTCTAAATATATATATATTTTTTTCACATTGTTGTAATGAAATTTTTATTTAATTAGTATTTTCCGCATAAACTAATTTGGAGCTTTAAATGAAAAAGTCTCGGAAGCAATGTTATCTTCCAAATTACTTTGCTGCAAAAGCAGAATAATTTCACCAACAACTTTATAAAGAAATAAAGTTTACACAACGCTGATTAAATTTTGCTCTCTTACCCTTTCTAATTACAATCTTATACTCGTACGAGTATCTCTTCATGCAAAATCTTAGCAAAATATACTTTTTGTACTATTTGTTATTGTTTTAATTCGCTTCACTTACAGCACATAGCAAATCACACCAACACTCCACATATCCGTCGCATAAGAAATACAATCGAAATTCACAACCTCGGGCGCGACAAATTCGGGTGTACCAAAGAGAATCTGTGAAGCATATGAAAGAGTGGTGAAAAAAAAAGAAAATTAATAAAATAAAACAATTACAAAATAACAAATTAGTGACGAAATTCATTGACTAAGTTGTAAGTTATAAGAGAGGGGAAGAGTGAGTGAGGCAGAGACACAGAGACCAAAAGTGAATTCATAACATAAATAACTGTAGTAACATTGTTGCTTTGTGTGTGAGAGGGCTTAGTGTTAATCACACGCATATTAATGTAGTGGTGGTGGCGCAGTGCGTGTGTGTATGTAAGCTCTGTGATTTCGAGCTGTGAATCCAATTAAATACGAAATTGGTTTGCATGTGGGTGTACATGGCGTATGATTAACCTACTACATATGTATGTAGCATTAATGGAAATTGCGCTGAATTGTGGTTTCTAATTTCTAAGAAAAAGAAAATACAGGAGTAAGCTCTACTTTTGATTTAATTTTATTACACTCAGGTTCTAGGTGTGTCTAGTAGGGAAAATCAACACAACAAATTTATACAATTACAAAAAAAATTAAAAACAAAACATGGAAAAATGTTAACTGCGGTTACACCGAAGCTATAATACCCTTCACAAGTGCATTTCCTATTGCTTAAAAGGGTATAAAAAGATATTTATATTGATTTTGATTAGGTTAGTTTGTATGCTAGCTATATGCTATAATGATCCAAACTAAACAAAATGTTAAGAGATTATAGCATTGCCTTGGATAATAACCTATGCAAAATTTCCTGAAGATAGATCTAGACAGTGCTCGGAGATTGTGGCTTTGAATTGAGCCATAAACCATGCCAAATGGCGTGAAACTATCTTGTCTTGTTCTGGGTATTACAAAATTAATAGTACCCCGTCCAGGGTATAAAAAAGTGTCACTTGGCTCTGTCTAGTTGTCGGTAAATTAAAAATGGTATAAGTAATCCAAAACTCTTTTATGTATATGTTAAAGATTACCTGCAATCGCTTGTTGGGATCATATTTACGCGCCAAACCGAAGTCAATGATCTTGATGCGATTTCCCTCTTGTGTCAGACACAAAATATTCTCTGGCTTCAAGTCAAGATGTAAAATGTTATTGCGATGTATGAATTCCATGGCCTCGCAAACTTGCCGTATGAAAACCACACAAACACGCTCTGTTAGCACAAATTCATCGTCCACCACACGATCGAAAAGTTCACCACCTTCGACTCTGTAATATAATTTATATAATTATTAACAAAATGAATGAAAGTTAGTTATAAAAGCAAAAAAAAAAAAAGAAAAATTTAATTATTTTGGATGCTGTACTAGTATCGTTCTGTATCGTATCAATAGTTTGAAAGTTTAACAACTAAGAAGCACGTACTTTCAGGAACTTTACTATGGAAAGCGCTCTGTCGGCGAACTATAAGTATTTTGCTCGGGTATAGGTTAGGAACGAGGAAACTTAACGATTGGTGAGTTCATATAAATATTTTGGAATTTTAATTTGCAAGTTCTGATTCTCAGCATTGTTTTCTGAACATTATCAAGGTTAAACGAGTCTTGGTCCTGTTATTGATTGGCAAATAGAAAGATAAAACGAAAACTTAAAATTCAGGGTGGCGCTCTTACTCTTTTGTAGTACACTCGCATTATTTGTAGTACTCTCTCTTTATACAAATATATTTAGAGTCTAAATTTTAGACTGAAGAATCACACTTAGCTCAAGTAAATGATTTATTCTTTGACGCAATACAACTTTACTCGGAGTATTGGAGTTCCTCTTGTAATCGCAGGAAACCTTATATTCTTTCGGGAGTGGATTGTGAGACTTTCCATTTGCTCTCTTCACTTAGTTTAATATTAGAGAATGATTTTTTGCTCTTAATAACAGAAAATTTTTATTTTTTTTAACTTTGGTAAGGTAAGGTTGAGCTAGGCTCAAGAATGGCTTCGTTCCTTACGCTGAACTTCCTGATTCTTTGAATAGAGAGTGTTTCCATTAAATAGTAGAATTGCAATTCCTGAAAGGCTTATGTTTAATTATATTTTCGATGAACTCTTGATGTTAGAGACTTATGCTCATGCATACTGCTGACTGGCATGGGATAGGTATCATATCTGGCGGCTTCAGTGCGTGAGCCATAGAATTTGGTTGCAATTGAAACCACCGAAAAAACGATGTCTGGTAGTGAGGAAAATTTTTTGCTTAAAATTATCTCAAATTCAAAATTCAAAAAATATAATATTACTATAGACGAATACAGGTAATGAACGGAGGACTAGTCAATATTATATTATTTTTTATAAAATGGCGGCTTCCCTAACAAAAAATATCTTTTTGGAAAAAAAATTCACCATTCACTTCAAAACTCGAAATTATTAACAAAAATCTTATCGACCATTATTTACTCCAAACTCTATGAAACTTTCATATGAGCATCAGACACTTAAAAGCCTTCAACAAAATTTTAATAGAGCTTTCCAATTAAGCCAAGCTGATAAGCGCTTTCAAGCCATAAAAGACACGCATATGCTTTAGAAACACATATATACTTTTATATATGTGAGTTTTATATAATATTTGCCGAGCAGAGCAACATCAATTAATATTCGAGCTTACTAAACGCCTAGAAGCACACTAAGAATTTGCGAGCATGATCGGTAGTACGAATTACTATGCGCTGCAATGCAGTCTTTTGCTGTAGACACTTTGCAAAATGCAGTTTGTTATTGTTGTTTTGCTGTAACAAAAACTATTTTCAGGTTATTGCTGCTGCTGCTGCTGAAAAGTTGCCTGTAATTTAGCTGCCTAACTGCCTGTCTGCGAGGTTTATCTTTTGTGGTACCCACTAATGATTTATGATAACTTAAAGCGATGGAAAATTTACCAACACACAGCTCAAAGCAGATACGAGTGCAAAACAACAACAAAGTGGAAGGTGTAAAGCGTAAGTTATTTGTCAACACAGTTGCGAGTAAGTCAAGTTACATACTTCTTTATTCGCACTTCGTAATTTTAGTAGTAGTTTGTAGTGAGAGCAGATGTCTACAGCTGGAAACAATTTCATTTGAAGCAAAGCAAAATGTTTGTTTTAGTGGAGTGCAAGGAAAACTTTGATGTTTATAAATGCAATATTTGCCAAACTAGCTGCAGACCTTGGCAAGTTGCTCCGAGTTGTGTGCTTGCTGCAACATGCGCCTATATGTAGGCATTGTATTTCATGTTGTGAGTAACATTTTCTGCTGTACAAATACATTGCAGCACATGAAACAAGCAGAAAAGTGCTGTTTGGCAACTCAGCTTTAATGACTTCTTGCCTAGTAAGGTTTTTAATGGCCTTATATATGCATATGTATTTCTTGGAGTATATATAAATATGTTCACTGTTGAGTCCGTTGCAGCTGCAACAAGTTCATTGAAAGTTTTCTCAATAGACTAATGCAAGTAGCTCTCGTTCCAGCTTAATACATAAGGCTAAATGTATACAATTTTGTAGTTCTTATATACTTGTACACTCTTTAGTAGCCATTTTAATTCAGTTTCATTCACAAAATATGCATACATTTAGGCGCTGGCATCTACCACCGTAATTTTCGTGTTTAAACCACTTTTGAAGGCATTTCGTTGGGTGTTAATATGCTATTGTGTAAATATATATTTAGTATTTTTTTTTATTTTATAAGCAGTTCCGACAAATGAATGAATTTTTTTGAGTGAAAGTGCTCTTTGAAGTTTTTGCGCTGATGCAGAACTCAATAAATGATCTCTAAATCATGGAGTCATCTTAGGATATATAATATCGTTCTGGCTGAACACGAAATGTATAAAACAACTGATTCAAGAAAAGGATTCCTTATGATCAGAAACTATAGAAGAGAGAAACACAAGTTGAATTGTCTATAAAGCTGAAGATACTTGGACGGAAAGTATTGACGAATTGCGTATGTTGGAAATAAAAAAGTGTGATTGAGCTAGTAAAAGCTGTTCTCGAGTGACTATATCGCGGGTGATGAATCTAGCTAATAATTGGTATATATATATATTATAAACTGGTATAATAAAGTAGTACATAAACAAGTGTAAATCTAATGGACTGGTATATTAAAGTAAAATGAACAATTGGTATAGATTTAAAAATAAATAGAGTCGCATAATAATGTAAACTGGTATAAATCTATTCGACTGCTAACAATGTTGAACCAAAAACGGATGTAAATGATAATAGAAACTAACATAATAAAAGAAAACCGGCAACTGGTGTAACTCTTCTAAACTGGTAAAATAAAGTTTGATGAAAAAGTGGTATAAAACTATTTGATTGGTATACTGAAGTATAATCAAACAACTGGTATAAAAGTATTAGACTGGTGTAGTAAAGTATAATAAACCAACTGGTATAAAACTTAAAAACTGGTATAATAAGCGAGAACGTGCATTTGGTAGAAATCTAATAAACGGGTATAAAATAGTACAATAAACCACTTGTATAAATCTAAAGGCTGGCGCATTTAAGCAACACAAACAACTGGTATAAATGCAATAAAGTGGTTTAAAAAGTAAACCAAACAACTGGTCTAATATATTATTCAGTAAACTAAATTAAGATTAATTAAATAACTGCTGAGATATAAAACTTAAGCTCGAAGTTGTGTAACGCTCTTGAACTAAACAAATAGATTCAATATTTGGCACTTTAAGTAAATATTCCCCGAAAATTTGTATAAGAGCTAATGCTGAACTAGTTTAAATGAAGTTGCTGTGAAAATCGCTCAATCTTCAAATCTGCGCTTTTCTTCTAACCTTATCTTGCTTCTTTTTAACTTCGCAAAATTTTTACTGGTGGCAATGCGCTAACACTGCACGTGCAAGTGCCCAAGGAGTCATTCAGTAAACTTTTCTGAATGGTACACCTGAGTATAAGAACGCTTGCCAATTCACCTGTAACTGCCAGAGAGCAATCGAAGACACGAAAAAGTGAAGGAAAGAAATATAAAATGTGAAAATTTTCTACGAAAAAATATTTGCATAAGACTGGAAGTACTTTTGCGTACACATATGTTGACATATACATACATACATATGTGTATGTGTAAATGTGGCTGCGTGCAATGTATGTTAGAAATTGAGCAGGTGATGAAGGCAGACAAGTTGAAAATTCTGAGAAAATCAAGTGGAGTTTTGAGCTGGCGAAAGGATTGCGGAAGTGACAATAAAAATATGCTTTTGCGATAGGAAAGTAAAACTTGCAAGTTAGCGAGGAAACTTGCTTAAATGGATGAGAGCAAAAAGTTGGTTAAAAGAATATAAAATCCTGCTGAGTATGAGCAAAGAAAAAGAAAGCGAAAAAAGTTAAAAAAAAAATAAAGAGAAAATAAAAAATAAAAAAGAAATAAAAATAACATGGAAAGAAATATGAAATAATTTCCATGAATTTTTTTATAAATTTAAGGTGATAAAAATGCTATTTGCTTGATGCGAGAAAATAAAGGAAGTTTTTTCTAGTTTTCTAAATTGTGTCGGTCATGCAGTTATGAAAGTGCAGAGTTCAGCATATTCCGAGAAAAACGTGCGAAATTTGCACAACGTGTAATCGGCAATTGAAAAAAGGGTTGCAGAAGAAATCTTCTAAGGTCATTAAAAAGTTTGCGTCAAAAGTTTTGACAAATACAAATATGAGCAAGTATGTTGATTGATTGTGAGAATAAGCGTAAAAAGAATCTGTTGAAAATTTTGCATGACAAGAGGAATTTAATATTGTCGTGTTAGCTGCTAAACCTTTAAGGGTAAAATAATTTATAAAGAAAGTTGAAAGAATAGTGAAACACAAAGAGAAAGCCAGTGGTAATGTTTAAGACGCTGAGTTTATAAGTTTATAGGAAGGCATTATTTCGTTTTAAAATTTTTTTAATAGTAATACGCTTTTGGGAATAAGTCATCAGTTAGTCTAGGCTAACCGAATATATCTAAAAAATTGTTGGATATAATATTTAAATTGAAATCTATTTTATAGAAGTTAATGTTAATTCTCTTCTGTCTATGTTACTACGCATCAGATTGCGGATAGTTTAGACGATGGTTTTCTGTCCAAGCTGGCCAAGAAATTATATCAAGGCCTTATTACACTATTTTGGTAAGTAAAAATTTTAAACTAGAACTTATATATAAGTCCTTGTGAAAAAAATTCGTCTAGTTAAACTAGAAGCATAGAAAAAGCACTCAGGTCATATATTCAAAACATCGGGATTTAAATCATATATGTTGTTCTATCGGCATCTCGTTTTATTATTCATATTTATTTTCACAAAACCGGTAACTTTTGCTGAAAGAAACTCGCTTTCCTTGCTAATTTCTGCTTCTGTCTCTCAATTGGATCTGTGGCGAAAATTGTTGCTTAGTAGATGGACTAATGATGGTCTAATTGTAATTGTTCAATCTAACACAATAATCGTGAATAATAATATGGAATGCTTTAAGCTCCGTTGCAGATATTTTTCTCGATATAATTTAGTTTGTTATATTTTTATGTCCACGAAAATTTTTTAGTGAGATCTTATGGCCTTGCTTCGTCGTTGATTGCGTAAAGCTCAGATCTCTGTTTGGCTGCCAAAAGCCATAATTATTTGCCGTTATATATGCATTTTATGACTAAAAGCACTACAAACATATTTATGGCGCAGTTTTTGAAAAACAAAGCATGAAAGAAATTAACTACAAGATTTTCAATAAAAGATTTTATAGGAAGAAAATTTGTTTTGGAGTGCAAAATGATTGAACGATTCACAAATATTGTATTTAACTGATATTAAACCTCTTGAATTAAAATATACTTAATTTTTAAAAGTTAAATTCACTTTAAATTAATTATAAAGAATATAGATAAAATCAAAATGCTCTACTTACAACTCCAGCACGACGCACATCATTTTCTGATGCTCATACGCCGCGTACAACTGTATTATTAGATGATGTTGCAGCGAGTTCATAATCTCCACTTCACGCTCCACATTGCGACGGTCTTCACGCTTGGGTATGGGCACAAATTTGGCGGCCAATTTCAGGCCGTTCGTCTTTTCCTGACATTTGTAGACTGTGCCGAATTTGCCTCTGAAGAGAGTGATTATAAACGACAATAAAATAAAGTTACTTATGTTCATGTATATTTTATATTATGTATGTATATGTATATAAGTATATTAATCCATAAAATACCATGGTTTGAAGCTTAATAAATATTGTTGCAGGTGCAACAATTTGCCGTGCATTTAAACACGTAAAGTTATTTAGAAAAAATTTCGAAAATTTAATTTTTTATACGTGTAATTATTAACGGTGTTATTTGAAGTCTCTGATAATATTTTCATTCGTCCCTATGGTGCTATATTTGTCACTAAACTACTCCTTTGTGTATCACAAATGTACGCTAATATTTTAATGATATTTATGTCACGTCGTAAAGTTATACTTTGTCAAATTGAAATTTTACAGTGTTTTTTAATGAAAATTTTTTTTTTGCCTACTGAAAACTTACCTGCCCACTTCACCGAGTATTTCGTATAACTCATTTGCATCGACACCACGTTTTATGGTTACGTCACGATAGGGAAATGCCGGTTCCAGTTCTGCAAAAGAGTAAAAAAGGCTCAAATTAATAATTTTAAATGTGAAATGGGAACTGGAAGATGAAAGCTTTACGTGTAACAAAAGCTTCGTAGTAAAAAAAAAGTTTGCCAGAAGTGATTTTGGTCCGTAAACGAAATTTACTTGATAAGTAAGTAGGAACTTTAAGCTAGAAGAGCTTTATGAACTGGTGTTTTAAAGTTAAAACCTTTGCTTAGTTTAGCAATCCAATTGCATTTTTTTCTGTCATGAAATATCTTGAACAGTTGTGTTAGCAAATTAAAAATAGAGCTTTTATTACATTTCATTTAATTATTAGCAGAAAACTGTCGACTTTTGCAAGAAAATTTTTCGAAAAATGTTAACTTAAATAAACATAATTTTTGTTTACATGAAGAGCTTATTTTTTCAAAACAGCACAAAAGTGTTAAAAGCTTTTAAATCCTCAAATAAAACTAAAAAAAAAAGCTTTTGGAAGACCATACCTAACGAATTCAATTGGATTATATATTTTTACAACTTAGTTCTAAGTTTAAATTTTCTAATACAGCGAATTTTTACAAAAGCTCTGTGAAAACGTTTACGTCACGCAAATTTATTCTCAAAAGTTTCAAAGATCGATATGCATAATTTTTGTAATAAAAAAGAAAGCAAAATCTAAATTGTAAGAAAACTAATTCAAAGCTTTTAAGATTTCGCGCTGTACTTTAGAAAAAAAAGCTTTAAGAGAAAAATGCGCTACGAATGCAATAAAAGAAGCATTTGTTTTTTGTATAAATTATAATTGTTTTGTCATAAACTTTAAAAAAAATATATATAAAAATAAATGTCGTGGGAATTGCCTAAAAATATTAAAAAAGCTGCTGAAAGTTTGCACGATAGCTATATGAAAACGGTTCTACCAAGAAAAAGCTCAAGGAAATTTTCTCATAGGGTTTTAAAAATATTTAAGTGACGTAGGAGTTTCTAAGAAATGTAAAAAAAGCTGTTAAAAGCTTGCATGAAAGCTCTATTAAAAAGAGCATACCTAAAAGCTAACGGACATTTTGTCATAGTAAAAATTTCCAAGAAGTATTAAATAAATTGTAGTTGAAAAGCTCGAAGAAAGCGTTTTTTAAAAGCTAATCTTTAATGGTTGATCATTAAAAAGACATATTGATGTTAATTTGAGTTTAATTTACAAAGATTTCGCTTAAAATTAAATAAAATTAGTTTTATGTATATTTTTTAAATAAATATTTTCATTTGCTTCGTTTGATAAAAATTCGTTAAAGCTTTCATTGATCGCAAACTTTTATAAGCTAGTTTAAATTGCTAGTAAGACAATTATTTTCCATCTATTTAAATTAATTACACTTTAATATGTTTTATACAAATTACGCTGCGCTCATTTAACCTGTCAGTTGGCAATTCAACGAAGATAGTTTCGGCCAATGTCTCTTTACGCATAAATTTAGCCAATTAATTGGCTTTGACATGATGACAATGTCGAAGCTGTGCCATATACATTACTACCTCCACACACGCACAACCATTACAAACATACACGTGCCGAGGTAACCGCACGAAACACGACCACAAGCATATAAAACACATCATTTCGTCAGCAAACGAAGTAATCATTTGTCGTGGTCGTCGCTGCTGTGCCCTCAAATAACGGCATAATGGCTGAATTCACAGTTACAAATGGTTTGCGGTGAAATTTTGCCAAAGCAATTACAAGCAAATTAGCAATATTTGAGTGTAAGCTCACTTACAACTAAACAACCAAGCGAAATTGTGGCGGAAATTTATTATTTGACATTTAATTGGCGGTTGTAAGTTACTTTGTCGTGGCAGGAGGTCAGTGAGACCGAAGTTGCGGTTGTCGATAAGCAGCTATTCACTCAGTTCAGCAGATTGCAGGTAACTTATGTAATAAAGTTTATGCGACGAAAGTTTTAAGTTGACTCTAGATAACTTTAGCTGAAGAAAAGCTTACGACGGCAAAGTTATTGCAAGAAATTGTGGACTGTGGATGCAAGGTCTGGAGGAAAACTGGAAAAAACATGACCACATTCACTTAGGTCCCTTCATACTAGAACGTTTCTAATGCTGTTTGTATAACGTACTGTTAAGTATCGTTCCACTTTCGAGAAACTTATGACACAGTGTTGGTTTTTGATCGCAAAAAAGTATAGATTTTGCAACTTCAGAAAAAAATAATACAGACTTAATTTCTGTTCTAGTAAAATAAAAATAAAACATTGAATTTGAAACAGTTAACCAAGGTCACGTTGCGCTTCACCAAAACAATTTTTTTTTTACTAAAGCAAATTTCTTCTTTTCTTGAGTTTATAACTCACCTGGCTTTCGATGTTCCACAACTCTTTTGACACAAAATTGAAACAGTTTACTAACGATTTAAAGCAACAATATTTTTCAGAGCTGTATATATTAGTAACAATACCGGAAATTTGCATTAGTTCTCAGCAGACGCTTTGAACGGAGAGCACCTAATGCGTTTACTCTTGTGATGAAAAGATGTCCTGGTTTTCGCAGGTTAGAGCAATTTTTCATCAGGATGTTTCATAAAGAAATCCCATCTCATCATTACAACCTTGCGGACTAGTCTATAAGCAAGGTCTATACATTTCTTCAAGTGATTTGTTCCGCTTGAGATACGCGAAAATACGCCTTAAAGTATGCAAACATTTTGCGCATACTTTGTGAACGTGTTAGGTTTATTTTCGTTACGAAATTTCTTGATTCAGTTCCCGCGCTCAAGGCCCGCGGTAGAAGCTATGCAATAGCTTATAAAATATACTAGATCGTGCCGTCATGAACGTCAGACGAGGAAGACCAACCGTCACAAATAACGTTTTTCCTGCAACTGTCTTATATATGTATATCAAGTATGCAATCACATACGAATACAAATTAGTTGCTGTAGGCAACAAAAAGACAGATAATTTCTCAAAATATTTGTGAAAATTAAAGCTAAATTCTCGTATAAAATATACACTTGAGGTTGAAAATATTTATGAGTTTCATAACTGTGCAACAACAAAGATCATAAGGACTACTTTGAGTACTGTTAGGCTTGTATTTGAGAGCATATTTTCTAATAAATTTTTGCACCAATTTGCTTAAGTGCTGTCACTTTGATACAATTGCAGCTTACGTGGCTTCCGCAGGAGCAGTGAAAACTGATAATAGCTTTTCTCACACACCTAAATATGTATATGTGTGTATATGTGTTGCAAAATGCATTGTCAATATTGCTCTATATTGCGTAAATTCCAAAAATGCTTAAAATCTTGCTATTTCTGTTGCATATCTTGTTTTTGTTTCAAAGTAGTACATATTTCGTTATAAAATAACTTTGCCGAAGTTTCACTGAAATTTTAACGGCATTTATAACACATGTTTAAAAAACCTCTCCTTCGCTTCCTTGCTTTGCAAGAGAACATAATAACTTTTGCTTGTTTTAAATTTATAGATTTTCTCAGCATTTGTGACTGATTAATCAACGGAAGAAGTTATATCTAAATATCTTATATCTTATATATAAAATTCAAATTCACTTTTTATTAGAATTCTATAAATATTTTATTCGTAAATAATTTTCCTCCAATATAAATGCTTAATTTTATCGAAATTAAATTAAAGCTCTCGCATGACATACTATGCATATTCAGAGTCAGTACAGTACTCTTTGTCTGCTGAACTAATTTGTTTCATCACAATTCTAAGCACTGGAATTCATACTCAAGTAGACAAAATACATAGCTGTTTTGAATGAATTATGCTGCAAAATATGAAGAATTTCTGCAAATGTATAATAAAGCTTGCATTATCTCCACATTTGCATGACCAACAGCATTGTTGTCATTGCTGTTATGTCTATTGTGAAATGTTTCAAGTGGCGGTTGCACGCAAGTGGAATATGTATTTGAATCTTATACTTGAACTCACTTGCCCATGAACACAAGGGCGAATAGATACCGTCACTAAGATATAGATAGCATACATTCTGGGCGCATAGAGCATCGTAAGGAGGGACTTAAATTTGATATGCAAATAAGGGTATGTTTATTAAGGCGGTATTATTTTTGCTCCTATCTACTTTTCAACTCTAACTTTCATTAAGAATTTTGAAATAAAAGCCTTTGTCGGATAAAATCCGGGTCAATCCCGTTAACGTTAGATCCTTCTCCGATACCAATACAATCCAATCCGTAGCACCCATAACAACATCTCGAATACCTGGCTCTTATTAATTTGTTAAAGGTTGTATGATTTTATGTAGTGTTCTAAGAAGAGCTTTATCCGAGCTTCACTGGCTTGACATTCCATGTCTTTTTTATACTATATATACTAAAATGTTAGTTTACCCAAAGTCTAGTGATCTCCTGTGAGTTGAGTGCTTACTCACGATTATCCTCAGCAACAAAGATCAATCCAAAATAAACAAGGCCGTCGAACTTATGGAGGAGTGAATATATTAAACTTAAATATTATTGGATTAGTATTCGTATTCGTTGGTCAGCACTAACTTCAGGAATCAAAAGTTAAAAGAATATTTCACAGATATGTTCCAAAAGCTCGAAGAAGTTATAACATATAGGAGTTCTTAAATACCTAATTTAAATTGTATTGCTCAAGTCCAACGAGATACTATTCCAAAAGGTGGGGTAGCTATTTACCAAAATAATAATGTTACTAATATTTTGACTGCGAATATTGAATAATTAATTTTTTTTAAAATAAATTTTTATTAAATTCCATACTTTTATTTGCCATTAAAAAAATTTTATCTTAAATATTATTATTTTTGAAGCACCCTGCTGTCTCTTCAATTGATGTTTTCCGCTTGAAATATGCGAAAATACGCCTTAAAGTAATTTTGCGCGTACTCTGTGATTGTGTTAGGTTTATTTCCGTTACGGAATTTCTTGACTCAGTTCCCGCGCTCAAAGCTTGAGATAGAAGCTATGCAATAGCTTCAAAACTTAACTCA